ACAGAGGATAGAACTCCATCTCTCCTGCAGGGGCAAGGGTGATGAGCGAGGCGAAGGTTTTACCCATCATTTCCAGACAATCAACACAAGGACGCACAAGGGTGAGGAGGGGGTTAAATTTCAGGCACCGGACATGCTACACACAAGTTTGTGGACGGGACTCACAAAAGACGGACAGAAGGAAGTGGTGGACGGGCCGAGAGCGGTAGCGAGAGGAAGGGTTGGGGCGGGTTTAAAGACAGAACTTGCAAGACATAAAAGGACAGCACATCCGAAAATACATACTATCAGAATGGCACCTCGGTTAACTGACTTACATCGAATGCATCATTGCTGGTGACTGATGACAGAATGGTCGGGTTGCCCGCAATGTCCTTACGGACGTTCTCCATTCGGACCAGGGGGTCAGAAGGGTCCCGAAGGGCGCCCACGTCCGAGCTCGTTCCAGCGACTTCCGCTGAAAGCTGTCGCTGCATCGACTCCAACTGCGTTTTCAGACTATCGCGTTTAGCCTCCACCGCCTTGATCCTGGCCCTTGCCTCCTGCAGCTGCGCGTTAGAGTGGAGACCGTGTTCTGCAGGTCACGCAATTGTGCCTCCAGCTGTTGTGCTTCCCTGAAATGGTGCGCACCAGCAACTACGGGACAAGCCCCGGAATAACACGTATCGAGAAAGGCAGACAACAAGCAAGTGGAAAGAACAATTAGACAGTCATCCCAGCCGACGTTATGAACAACGGAGCTCAGCTCATAGAAATAAAATGCATAACACATTGGCGAGAGGAGGGGGGCGAGTGGGGGGCCGGGGGGGGGAAACGTAGGATGGAGTTAAGCAACAATTCAAGAACTGGCACCGTAGCTATGAGCGTGTTGCGTTTGCTTGCCTTGCGACCGCTCACGCCTAACGGGTGCTGTCGGGTTATTAGGCTGCGAGGTGTGCGGCGCCAGCTCCGTTCTGGCGAGCCTCCGCAGAGCGCACATCTGCCGCTCGAACCGCTGCAGCGCGGTCCTCCACCGCGCGAACCTCCGCAGCCCGAATCTCCGCCGCTCGAATCTCCGCCGCCCGAATCTCCGCCGCCCGAAGCTCCGCCGCCCGAAAGCTCCGCCGCCCGAAGCTCCGCCGCCCCGAAACCTCCACCGCCCGAACCTTCGCCGCGCACACTTCCGCAGCGCGAACCTCCACTGCGCGCAACTCATCGTCGTTTCCCGCTTGGACGCCGTCAACATCATCTGCATCGTCGTAGTTCCCGTCTTCGTCGTCGCTACCAGCTTCGATGCCGTACGCGATGAAGGGATCCACGCCGCCCTCCTCTGCGGCCTCAATCACTACTGGCCATCATCGGACCCGTGGGCTCCGGCGGCAGGCACGGGGGTGGCAGGGAGAGCTCCAATATCTGCGTCTGACGCGATACCGCAGACTATGCCGCGTGTGGTTGGTGCGCCGTTTTGCGTGGTGTCCATTGCTTCTTCTGCACCAATGCAGGGTTCGCGCCTCTTCTGCTTCTGACGAAGTGCCGGCGGTAGTGGTTGTCAGCGGATGGCGAGCCTACAGGAATGTTGCCATTCGCACTAGAGGATCGACCACTCGCACCAGAGCCGGCGGCAGCACGTTTCCTCTTAGACCCCGCCCCGACGGCCTGCAGCTGCCGTCTTACCAACCGTAGGGAGCGCCGTGGAGAGTGTTGACTGCAGCTGTTTTAAAGCAGCCTCTTTAGCTAACTGCCGCCTCTTATTCTCTTCTGTAAGAATGTCATCTCCCAGCTGTGACAGTGCAGAGGCATCGAGTAGATTGAGAGCAGAATGAGAATGGGGCAAGGTGACCCCTGCTGGATCTAGCAAAACTCTTTTCCCGGTGCCTGCCCGCACTAACTGTCCCCCATTCTGAGCCATAGGTTTGAGGATAGTGATGGTTGATGACCAGTTTAAACTTACCAAATGGGGAAAATGCCACGACGCAAACCAGCCATGAGCTTTTTTTTCGCACGGCTTATTATCTGAATTTTTTAGCGACACAGTGAATGTTTGCGACTTCTCAATCCCATATGTCAATTGTTTCCCATGCCTTTTTTTCGGAAAATGTTACTGTGAACTTTGATTCGGCGAACGAGGAAGCAAGGTAACATGCATATATGTGGATTAACGTGCCTAAACTAAAAAACACACCCATAAACTATGCTATGAAACTATGATCTTTCAAACTGTAGTGATCTAGCGTGGTGTGAACGAAAAAATGTGTTGAAATCACAGTTGCGCGTCAAACACGAACTTGTTTGATATTTACTCGAAAGCAAATGGAACAACCACGGTCGCGGTCAAGCGGTTAGTTTTACAACTAAAAATTTCCATCTCGTACAAGCACCACTTCGAAAGGTGCAGGTGAGACAAACGTCGCCACTGCGCAGACCTCGACTCCAACAGAGCTGATGTCACGCTTGTGCGGCGCGCAGTGTGGCACGTAGCTGGAGAAAATGCCTGAATGTGTCTCGTTTTCGACTATCGTGCTGCCAACACGACTGTTATTGCCGCATAATGAACCAATCGGAAGCTGCCACCATCTGTGTTGGCAACTGGAAGATTTCGACCGACTAAGTGCGACACCGCCATCCACATTCAGGTGCACCCCACACAGTGCGCAACACGAGGCAGTTATCCTTGTCTGACGGTGTTGCGTATGGCAGCTGCCATTGCATCGATGATGACTTAATAACGATGAAGCGGGACAAAGTATGCTGTTTGGTACTGATTGCAAACGAATTGGGAACGTAATATAAAATACAGATGAAGTATTTGACTCTTAAAAGGCTAAGGCAACCTAGATGGCTTTCTTTGCCTGCCAGGCCACTTAAATATACTACCGGTATGAAGTTTTCACCACGCAAACCTATTAACGAACCACTTTTCAGCGTCTTTGTCCGGTCGCACTAACTGTACCACGCGCTTGATGCTATCAATACTGATTACTCGGTACCTCTGATTAACTCCCTCCCAGTGCAAACCTTGCACTTGGTGGCTGCATCAACGCTGGCCTGTTCCCTGTAGTACTTCACGAATGCATAGTTTTTAACCGTGCCCGCAACCTTGGCATGAAACAACAGAAGGGTTTTCGCAACCACATCCTCGTCCCCGTCTGAGCCCTCACCTTTGACCGCCACATCAGAAAACCATTGACGACCGTGGTGCATGGGCAGGGCGCGGATGTGGTGCGGCAGGCGACTATACTGCGCATCAACCGCAGCTGGCATGGCGAGTTCCCAGTGGACCTGCAAAGGTACCGTCAACAAGAAGAGTCATATTGTTGGGTCGGTTACAAAAGCTACGACGGGCAGGACTGGACGTCGTACATACATGTACTTCCTTGATAGCTTCCCCATTGCCGTCACAGCCAGGTGCCCTATCCAATGCCGGCACGCTGTGTTTCAACTCCTCGCCGATGATGGCCTGCAACGGGCCATCACGCTTCGCGTCCGGTACGTGAGGGTATGGGGCTCCAACACGTGTTTCTGGCACTTACAATGCCCAACTCCTCTTGGATAGAAACCCGCTCGCCTGTCCGTTGGGCCTGCAGGGCATGGAACACCACCATCATCTCGTTACGTGTATTCCATGCTCGATGGAAATAATCAAGAACCATACACATAAGTCTAGTTCTTACCTTCACCATGGCGGTGTCATACTTCTTCTTCGCCATGAGTTGTGGCGCGATATACTGAAGACGAAGCCGTGCCTCTTTGCTGCCGACGATTTGGCTATTGACTGACCGTTATTCGATGCCCGGTAAGGGTTTTTTATGTACTCTATATGCAGATGCTCGTATAGTGTGCAGAATAATGCTCGGGCAAGCCCGACCTACGAATGGAGTCTATGTAGTGACTGATGAGGTGCATCTTAATGAAGTTCCAATCCGACGTGTGCGGGAAATGCGGTCTTGAGGTTGTGTAACATCCTGCGTATAGGCCAAAACATGTCGATCAATATTTAGCAAGCATCGGAGAATGAACGCAACACACTGTGAACTATTACTACTCACCGGTGTGCCTTTGTCTTGAACTCAAGGAGGGAGGTGTCAGTGTGTTCCGATGCCCGCGCGCACATCGAGGTACCACTCGATGTATGAGACGAGTGCGTCCATCTTCGGCTGCGTAATAAAAACCTTCACGATGAAGGGCAGAGTCTACATGACCGACCGGTGTTCGTATGCCTGATAGTTCGCCCCCTTTTCGAAGTACTGACCCGCGGGTAAACGCATGTTCCCCCCTCTAATACTTCTCTTGTAGTACCTAAGGATCCTGTCCAGCTTCTTTCTATCTGCCATTAACTTCACATGCGCGCGAATAAAGTCGACAATGTGCTCGTAAATGCCCAAACCTTCTTGGTGCATCACATCGGGCAGCACCGCAAGGTACGGGTTGAGAATGGTATCGGACTCCCACCTCCAGCCACCTAGGAAACTCTGCAAAAAAACAGAACCAGCACCTAGAGGTTAGTTCTGCACATGGTATAGCCCATAGAATGACCCTAAAACAGCACCCACAGCATACTATACCTGCACAGGGTGGGTGGAGAAGGTTGCCTCTGCATCTAGTGCAAGCCAGCCTTCTAAGATGTCTCGCACAATGGTATCCTGCTCGAATGGTGTACGAGCTTGGATACGATCCTGCAGCACTGCCAAGTGCTTCTTGTCCACCTTGCAAATCGAACACGGAAACAAAGTACCCAAGGATTTCGTGCACGTGATCTTGCACGACTCTGGGTAGTCCGACACATAAGCGTACAAATAGGGCCACACGTTGATTGACTCGCCTACAGCATTCTTCATAGCCATGCCGGTGTAGGATGCCGTCTTAAGAGATTGCAGCACCTCTCGCATGATGTAATTGTGGACTTGCATCTTGTCCACTACGTTGTACTCTGCAAGAAACTCAGGGAGCAGTGCTAGTAGCACGTGCCCAGAGGGTTGCCACCTGTCGTCCTTATCAATGTTACCCAACGTGAGATACACAGGATGACCCTTCGCCTTCCCTCTATGATCCATATGCGTCTCGTCACTCGCAAGGATCAAAGCAGCCACAACTCCATCCGGATCCTCCTCCCGCCACCAAAGTTTGCAACCTCTCCCACCATAGGCCTGTCTCGGGGTTACTGTACACCCTCACGTTCCCCACATATTGAGGATCTGCATGGAACACCATCTTGGCAGCCAGCTTGGGGTTCTTCAACAGGTCCTGTAGAGCAATCAACGGATCACAATACCAATACTCCAGCCAAGCCTTGTTACGTGACCGGATGGTCTTTCGTCGCCAACCTCAGTGGCCATTCGTCGCCCTAGACTTAGCGTACGCCTGCACGTCTTGGTAGGACTTCCAATCTTGTATTTCAAGAATGGTCTTACGCAGGATTTCCAACAGAGCGTTAATCTGACTGATAGAGAGTCGGTTGGAGAGGATCCTGCGCGCAAGAGCATCCTTGAGGTTAAACTGAGGGGCATCTTCCTCTTCCGCCAGTGCAACACCTGCTTGAGCTCCCTCCCACCATCATCATCAGCACCAGATACAGCAGCGTACTAGACGCATCGTCATCTTGTTCAAACGGCTGCACGCTATCTACTGAATCAGAGGATGAGGAAGTATCACTAGTGTCTGTTGGATCAGCACGAGAAATAGGAGGTACATCAATACACACATATTCCGCAACACCCGTTCCTACATTGCATGCACAGGCTCCAACCTAAGTACTGCACGCGGAATGGGGTTAGGAGGGATGAAGCTCGACCTTGCGCGCTTGGGGGCCTGCAGCTGCTCGCTACTGCTAATGAGGTTTGCAGGGCAGGGAGTTGCTCTGCATGTGGCGTCCCAAACCTGATCGAGTGTCGAATGCACAGAGACGACATCTTGGGCAGAGAAATGACATCTGCCAGAATTTTGGGAGTAGGGGAGAAGGGGGAAACGGGAGAAGACAAGACTTGAAGGGCGGGGGAAGGGGAGGCCAGGGAAGAAAGGCATACGAGGACAGGAGAAGGGAGAAACAAGAGGAGACAAGCTTAGGAGGGCAGGGGAAGGGGAAATTAGAGAAGACAAGCGACTTGAAGGGCGGGGGCAGGGGGAAACCAGATAATACATGCATATGAGGGGAGGGGAAGGGGGAAACCAGAGAATACATGCATTTGAGGGGAGGGGAAAGGGGAAACCAGAGAATACATGCATATGAGGGGAGGGGAAAGGGGAAACCAGAGAATACATGCATATGAGGGGAGGGGAAAGGGGAAACCAGAGAATACATGCATATGAGGGGAGGGGAAGGGGGAAACCAGAGAATACATGCATAGGTGGGGAGGGGAAAGGGGAAACCAGAGAATACATGCATAGGTGGGGAGGGAAAGGGGAAACCAGAGAATACATGCATAGGTGGGGAGGGGAAGGGGGGAAACCAGAGAATACATGCATAGGTGGGGAGGGGAAAGGGGAAACCAGAGAATACAAGCATATGAGGCCAGTGGAAGGCCGAAACCTGAGAAGACAAGCATATGAGATGATGGGGAAGGGGAAAACCAGCGAAGACAATCACAGGATGAACGGGAAACTAGAGAATACAAGCATAGGATGAAAGGGGTAGGAGGTAAACGGAGCATAGCGAGGACGAGCGTACGGGAGAGAGAAGGTGCACTGGAGGAGAGAAACAGAGAGGAGTGATGGAGACAGAGAACTAGAGAAGATCAACAGGTGGGGATGCGTGTGTAGGCGCACATGATAAGAGAAACAAACGGGAACAAGAGAAAGAGTGCACACTAGAAGAGAAACAGAGGGAAGAGAGAGAGGGCGCACTGGAGAAGAGACTCAGAGGGGAGCGAGCAAGAAGGCGCAAAGGGGGTAGAGGAGCAGAGGGGAAAAAGACAAATTGCGCATGGGCGGATAGGCGCAGAGGGGAAAGAGGGAGCATGCGCACGGGAGGAGCGGAGCAGAGGGGAATGGGACAAACTCGCATGAGAGGAAACTCAGGACATGTCACGAGGAATGGGGGCGAGGCGCGGAATGGAGGGTGGGACAAGTGAGAGCAAGGAATGCGGCGCAGAATAGAGGGTTACGAGAGAGATCGCGCACGTGAGGAGTGAACCAGAGGGGGGACGAGAGAACGCGCACGTGAGAAGAGGAGTAGAGGGGAATGCGAGTGAAGGCGCAAGGAATGAGAGAATGGGAGGGGAAGGAGAGTGAAGGCGCACGGAATGAGAGGTTGAGAGGGGAATGAGAGGGAAGGCACACCCTAAGAGAGAATGAGAGGGGAAGGAGAGTGAAGGCGCACGGAATGAGAGAATGAGAGGGGAATGAGAGGGATGACGCACGGAATGAGAGAATGAGAGGGGAATGAGAGGGATGGCGCACGGAATGAGAGAATGAGAGGGGAATGAGAGTGAAGGCGCACGGAAAGAGAGGACTGAGAGGGATGGCGCACGGAATGAGAGACTGAGAGGGGAATGAGAGCGAAGGCACACGGAAAGAGAGAATGAGAGGGGAAGGAGAGTGAAGGCGCACGGAATGAGAGAATGAGAGGGGAATGAGAAGGGGAATGAGAGGGAAGGCGCACGGAATGAGAGAATGAGAGGGGAATGAGAGTGAAGGCGCACGGAATGAGAGAATGAGAGGGGGAATGAGAGTGAAGGCGCACGGAATGAGAGAATGAGAGGGGAATGAGAGTGAAGGTGCACGGAATGAGAGAATGAGAGGGGAATGAGAGTGAAGGCGCACGGAATGAGAGAATGAGAGGGGAATGAGAGTGAAGGCGCACGGAATGAGAGTTTGAGGGGGGAATGAGAGGGGAATGAGAAGGATGGCGCACGGAATGAGAGAATGAGAGGGGAATGAGAGGGAGGGCTCACGGAAAAAGAGGAGAAGGCGCAAAGGAGGAGAGGAGCAGCGGTGTATGTGATAGTATATGCACAGGAGGAGATGATGGGGACAAAATGCGAATGGCGCGGAGGGGAAAGAGAGTGCACACACAATGGAAGAGAGGAGCAGCGGGGCATGAGAGGGTACGCTCAATGGAGGAGAGGCGCAGAGAAGGAGAGTGTACGCTTGCGGAAGGGAGGATCTGACTAGTGAGAGCAAAGAACGAGGCGCGGTATGGAGTATCGGACGAGAGTTGGAATGGGAACGAGGCACGAACAAGGAATGGACAAGAGGGGGAGACGAGCGAGGCGCGGATGCAAGCAACGGACGAGATCACGGAATGCACGAGGCACGGATGCGTGGAAGAGACAATAGGCAGATTGGGACGACCAGGACAAATGACACCGTCCGTGATAGGGAATACGAGGGAACGAACAAGGCGCGCAAGGGAGGAACGAACGAGATAGGGAACGAACGAGATAGGGAACGAACGAGGCGCGAAAATAAGGATCGGTCGAGATAGGAACAGAAACAGGCGCGCAATAGAGTAGGGAGCTAAATGGGGCGAGGCGCGCCAATCACGAAGCCCGGGAGGGACAATGCAAAATCCGCGGATATGGTGGAAACAGATGGCAGTGAATCGACGAAAAGCGAACGGGAGGAATGGACGGTAGGGGGAATGGGGCATACGAGGAATGGAACAGAGGGAGGGACGACAACGATCACGGGAGAAGCAGACGGGAGAAATAATGCAAAGCGGCGGGCATGGGAGAAAAGGACGGGGTGGGCGGGACGAAGCGCGCACGGGAGGGTGAATAGGACGAGTCCGCCACGGATGAATCGTCTAGAAGGAAGAGACGGCAGCGCGCACCGGGAAGCGGACGGGACACTGAATGCGACGTGGCGGGTAAGGGAGGAACGGACGAGAGGAAAAGAAACGCGGCGTGCACGGAATGAGCCTCAGGAAGGGAGAATTGCGACGATCGCGTCGTGTTTGGAGTGAAGGGGCACGGGAGTATTGGAGCGTTGCGAAGGGAGAGTCTGGAGACACACCTGTGATTCTCAACAGTTGGTCTAACATCCCGCATAGAAACGCAACAAGGTTCCACACGAAACCGCTCCTGGCCCGTGGCGAGTAGTTAGTTTGTTGCCTGTACGGCGGATGGCCAAGTCTGCTGAGATACACGCGAGGGAATTTATAGCGGCGGAGGTGATCACCCAGACTAAATAAGACAGTAACAGGGTTTAACTAGCACAAGGGTCTGACTACTTAGTCTCTATTGTGCTCACGAATGTCGAGAGAATTTTGCTAGGGAGATTCGAGTCTCTGCTCCAGCTCGAAATCCTGTTTGATGTATGTACTTCATTCTGGTATAATGCGATGCTGTGCATAATATAGCGCATTAATATGTTTTCTATGCAGTTAAATACGGTTTTGCAACCCTGAACGTGAAAGTGGAGCTGTACTGACACCACCCAATCAGAAACGTCTGGGTGCACGGTTGCCAGTGGGTACAAGTACAACCAATGGTCACGTGTGAGAAGACGACGCTTTCAAAATTGGCGCGAATCTGACCATCCTGACAGCTGCACCCTCAACTCTTGCTCGAATGCCACGATTTGAGGAACTCCCTAAAGCACGAGCTGGCAGTTTATAAGCATCGACACTGCCAATATTAAAACCACACTAACCAATTAAACATGTGAGTGGAATAATACCAACCAGTAAAACAAAATACAATATACTACCCAACAATTAAACGAAGATAAATACAATATACTGCCAGTAATACGATGTAACATAATAATTAAAAAAGATACCACAGGAAAAAATTGGAATTACCGATTACAAAAACAACATAACACCCAGAATTTGAATTCACGATACAATAACATAACAATGAACCTAATTCATCTGTTAAGTACAATCACTATTTTTTCTACAACTATCCGACAACTCGCAACTCTATCGCGACGCACGGCTTTAGAATAACACACCTGTCAGAACATTATAGCTTACTTATTTGTGTAGGCTATAGTGGCGTATCCCATAGGGGGTACAACCCAATTAGGGTTTCCTATTTGTACTCACCTCGTTCATAGTTCATTCATTCTCTCGTTCACTTCTTCTCATGGTATCAGAGCAGGTTCCCCTGTGGGAACTTTGCTTAGGGCCCACCACTTCGATTTTTTTTTTTCCTGCCCTAGCGCCCTAGCGCCCTAGCGCCCACCCTAGCGCCTGCCCTAGCGCCCTAGCGCCCGCCCTAGCGCCCGCCCTAGCGCCAGCCCTAGCGCCCTAGCGCCCGGCTGCCCGCCCTACGCACCCGTGAGCCGCCCGCGGCCTGCCCAGTGAGCCGCCGCCCGTGAGCCGCCGCCCGTGAGCTACCGCCCCGTGAGCACCGCCCGTGAGCGCCGCCCGTTAGCCACCGCCCGTGAGCGCCGCCCGTCAGCCGCCGCCCGTAAGCAGCCGCCGTCAGACGCCGCCCGTGCGCCGCCGCCGTCTGCGAAGCCGCCGCCCGTGAGCCGCCGCCCGTGAGCCGCCCCACCCGCGCGCCGCCTGACCGTGAGCCGGCGCCGCCCGTAAGCCGCCCGCCCGTGCGCCACGAGCCCGCCCGTGAGCCGCTGGCGTCGCCCGTGCACCGACCGTCCGCGAGCCACCCGCCCGTCCGTGAGCCGCCCGCCGCCGCCCGTGCACAGCCCGCGAGCCGCCCGTGAGCAGCCCGCGAGCCGCCCCAGCCGCCCGTGCAGCCGCCCGTGAGTCGCCCCAGCCGCCCGTGAGCCGCCCGCGCGCTGCCCGTGAGCCGCCCCAGCCTCCCGTGCAGTCACCCGTTGCGCCGCCCGCGAGAAGCCCGAGCCGCTCCGAGCAGCCCGAGCCGCCCGAACCGCCCGAGCAGCCCGAGCCGCCCGAGCTGCCCGAGCCGCCCGAGCTCCTGCTCCTGTGGGGCTGCTGCTGCTCCTGGACCGGCGCAGCCGCTGCACTGCCGTGTTACTGTACTACTGAGCTACCCAACTCTTCCTGCCCGGTGAGACTGTCAGCTGCTATAATGGCCACCCCCAGTGTCCTGACTTTTGATGCTGAGGGTCGCGCCATTGACTTTGCAGTCTGGGTCGAGGACCTGCAGCTGTACTTACTGTGCGATGCGATAGATGAGGTTTTCTCTCTTTGACTTTGTCTCTGGCGCTGTCCCTGCCCCTCCTGCTGATGCTGACCCCCACTGTTCGCTCCAAGTGGGCCACACGCGATGCTGCTGCACGTCTTGCTGTGCGTCGACACCTCCCTTCATCCGAGCGTGCGCACTTTAGTCAGTGCAAGACCGCTCAGGCCTTGAACGACGCTGAAGTTGCGCGCTACTCCTCCCCTTCCTCCGCTACGCTGAGCCGCCTCATGCTACCGTACCTCTTCCCTGACCTCGCTGCCTTTCCCACAGTCGCTGACCTCTTTACCCGCCTCCACGCTAGTGACACTCGCTACCGCGCTGCGCTTCCTGCTGACTTCCGCGCCGCAAACCCTCCTCCCATGTACATCACTCTCTACTTTCTAGTCACCCGTCTCCCTGAGTCCCTTCGTGCCGTTAGGGACCAGTTTCTCTCTGTCTGTCCCACCACCCTCACTGTCGACCTCCTTGAGAAGTCCCTGCTAGCGGCTGAGAAGAGTTTAGTCGCTGTAGGGGCCTCTCGTGGTGACACTCGCACCCCCATCTTTGAGGGGTGTTCTCCCTCCCCCCTACTGCCCTCTGTCGCCTCTGCTACTACGGCCGACCTCGCTGGTTTGGAGTCGGTCGGTGCTGCGTCTGCCCCCAGCGGTAAGGCGCCGCTCTGGCAGGGCAAGGGGGGCAAGGGAGCGGGTGGAGCTAGCGGGGGCGGTGGCGGAGGAGGTGGGGGCGGCGGGGGGAGTGGGGGTGGCGGTGGAGGTGGTGGCGGGAGTGGAGGTACTAGTGGCGGCAGTGGAGTCAGTGGTAGTGGCGGAGGTGGCGGTGGGAGCGGCGGGGGCGAGGGTGGCGGTGGCGGCGGTGGCGGGGGTGGCGGTGGTGGAGGTGGCCGGAGTGGCACGTCGCAGAGAAGCAGCACTGCGGGTGGTCAGCGCCAGCAGCAGCAGCAGCTGCGCTCTCGCGACATCCCCGCCCCTCATCAGCTCCGTGAGTGGTACTCGCAGCGTCAGCGTGGTGGGGCGTTCGGCCCCTGCACCTACGTCCTTCGCACCGGCGACCGCGCGGGTGAGCAGTGTGGGGGCACCCACACCGCCCGCCGCTGCTTTGCCCGCTTGACCGACGCTTGGCGCCAGCAGTTTCCGGAGGCCTCTGAGATCCCCCGCTGGGGAGAGCTGTCTAGGGCTGGTGTAGCTATCTTTGATCTTGACTATGATGCTATCCTTGCTGCCATGTATGCTGTGACTGTTAGTGATGAGGGTGACTGTTACCGGTGTTTCCCGCCCGACCCGGGTATTGGTACTGCTTGCGTCAGGTGCCAGTGAGGCTGCTGCTCTTAGGTGCCAGTGCGTCTGTGCTCTCAGGTACTAGTGAGTCTGCACTCTTAGGTACTGTGTCGGCTTCGGCCTCCCACCACCTTCACCCTTGACTCTGGGGCGTCTCGCTCCTTCTTTCGGGACCGCACCACTCTCACGCCGCTTAGTCGGCCGGTTGTGGTGTCCCCTGGCTGACCCCTCTGGGGGTCCTGTCCTGTCTCGTTTCTCCACAGTCCTCCCGTGTCCGGCGGCTCCCTCTGGCACCCTGACTGGTCTCTACCTCCCCTCGTTCTCTACAAACCTGGTGAGTGGTGCTGACGTACAGGATACGGGTGTCCACCAGTTCACTCCTGCTCGTCAGCGGGTGACACACTGCACAGAGGCTAGCACAGGTCGCCACCTGGCTACGTTTACACGTCAGCCAGGGTCGAGCCTGTACACACTGACCACTGCTTCTCCTCTAGGTGCTGAGTCTGGTAGGGTCTCTTCGTCTTGTCAGGTGTTTGCTGCAGCATCCAGGTCTGGTCCTGAGTCTGCCCCCTGTTCATGTCGCCGTCTGTCTCACGAGACCCTCCTCTGGCACCACCACCTTGGCCACCCCTCTCTGCTTCGGCTCAGAGGCATGGCCTCCCGTCTTCTTGTGTCTGGTCTCCCCCGGTCCCTCCCTCCCCTTCCTCACGGCCGTGGCCCTGCCTGTGTCCCCTGTGTCGAGGGGCGCCAGCGTGCTGCCCCTCACTCCTCCCAGTTTTCCTCCGACAGAGGCTCCGTTGCAGACGCTTCACATGGACGTGTGGGGCCCTGCCCGCGTCCGTGGGACTCGGTCACGAGCGCTAATTCCTGTTGGTGGTTGACGACTACTCGCGTTTCACCACAGTCTTCCCTTGCGCAGCAAGGGTGATGTCACCGAGGTGCTGATCGACTGGATCCGCGCAGCTCGTCTCCAGCTCAGGCAGAGCTTTGGCTCGGACTTTCCTGTGTTGCGTCTGCACTCGGACAGAGGCGGAGAGTTCTCCTCTGGCCTTCTGCGTGCATGCTGTCGTGCGCGAGGCATCCGCCAGACCTTCACGCTTCCGGACTCACCACAGCAAAATGGGATTGCTGAGCGCCGCATTGGCATGGTCATGGACGTAGCTCGTACGTCTATGATGCATGCGGCTGCCCCCCATTTTCTGTGGCCGTTTGCTGTCAGGTACGCGGCGCATCAGATCAACCTCCACCCCAGGGTCTCCAGGCCGGAGACCTCCCCAGCCCTGCTGTGGACGGGGAAGGTTGGCGATGCGTCGGCGTTCCGGGTCTGGGGATCTCGGGCGTTTGTCCGCGACTTGTCTGCGGACAAGCTGTCCCCTCGCGCTGCTCCCTCCGTTTTCCTGGGGTTCCCCCCGACGCCCCTGGGTGGCATTTCTACCACCCCACCTCTTGCCGTGTTCTGTCCTCCCAGGACGTCACGTTCGACGAGTCGGTACCCTACTACCGCCTCTTCCCCTACCGCACTCCGTCTCTCCCCCCACCCCCGCTCTTCTTGGTACCAGGTCCCCCCCCGGTAGACCCCCTCCCCCCTCAGGGTCCTGCCCCTTCAGGTGTGTCCCAGGTAGACGCGGTCGAGCCTGTCGAGGTCGCTGGTGACTCTGGTGCTGCTGTGGGTGCTGAGCCTGGGGGTGCTGTGCCTGGGGGAGCTGAGCCTGGGGGTGCGGGGTCTAGGGGTGCTTAGTCTGGGGGGTGCTGAGCCTAGGGGTGCTGAGCCTAGGGTGCTGAGCCTCGGGGTGCTGAGTCTGGGGGTGCTGAGTCTGGGGGTGCTGAGCCTGGGGGTGCTGAGCCTGGGGGTGCTACGCCTGGAGGTGCTTTGCCTGGGGGTGCTGCGCCTGGAGGTTCTTCGCCTGGAGGTTCTCCGGGTGCTTCGTCTCGCCGAGAGCCACTCTCCTCACAGGAGCTGCATGAGTGGTTTGCTCGGCGCTGGAGGCGTGCTGCTGGTGCTGGAGGTTCTTCTGCTGCTGAGGGTGCTGCTGCGCGGGTCCCGGAGGTGCTCGTACTGGGAGTACTGGAGCTGCTGGGCCTGCGGGATCGCCTGGAGCTGGTGCTGCTAAGGGTGTTGGCGCTGAGACTACCACTGGTGGTTTCGACTGGCGGTGCTCGCGGTGCTGCTGGAGGTTCTGGGGCTACTGGAGGAGCTGCTGGGGGTTCTGGAGCCACTGGAGGTGCTGCTGGAGATGCTGCTGGAGCGTGTACTCCTGCTGGGGGTAATGGTGCTGTCCCTGCTGTTTCTGGCCTCGCCACGCGGCCCTGACCGTACTTCGTACCGCTCCTGCAGCAGGTTCTTGGTCTTCCACCTTCTCCTGGTCCTCCTCCTCCTCCTCCCTTAGAGGGTCCACAGCCTATCCAGTCACTGCTACAGCCTGCCTCCCCTTTGCCTGCTCCTTCTCCCTACGCTGGTCCGACTGGAGGTCTTACTGAGCGTCGTGAGCCTGCGTCTCGTCCTGTGTCGCCTGTTCGTACTGCGCGCACTAGTGGTCGCGGTTCGCGTCAGCGTCCGCCTCCTGTCCCTGGCACGCACCGGATGTCTCTCCGTCCGTCCACTGATCCTCTACGTGCCTCTTTGCCTTCTCCTCCTTCTTCCTCTCTTCCTGCTCTTGCCGACCCGGAGTCGGACTCTCTTCGTGCTGCCAGTCCTACTGTCACGCGTTTCCGTGCTACTGCTGTCACTGACCCTTCTTTCGAGTCTTCTGCTGCGTCTGCCCTTGTCACTGAGCTTGTCGACTTTGCTGCGCGCTGTCGTCTAGACTACGCTGCTGGTCTTGTCGCTGAGTCTGAGTCTACCTGTCCTCCGTCCGTCGGGGGTGAGTGTGCCCTTGGCACGGACGTCCTTGAGGACAGGCAGGAGGAGTTTCAGTGTCTGGCCGCCGCCTCACCTCATCTCGCGTCTTTACTGCTAGCCCCTGAGGGAGACCCGGATGCACTAGACATCCCGACTCCGCGCTCTTACGCGGAGGCGATAGAGGGTCCCTACTCCTCTCAGTGGCAGGCAGCTATGGATGCAGAGATGGCTTCCTGGAAGTCCACAGGCACCTACGTTGATGCTGTTCCCCCTCCTGGGGCGAACATCGTCAGTGGCATGTGGATTTTCAGGGTGAAGCGGCCGCCGGGTTCTCCGCCTGTCTTCAAGGCGCGGTACGTGGCTCGTGGTTTCAGTCAGCGGCAGGGAGTTGACTACTTTCAGACCTTCTCCCCCCACCCCGAAGATGACCACTCTTCGGGTACTGCTGCACGTTGCTGCTCACCGTGACTACGAGCTGCACTCTCTCGACTTCAGCACTGCTTTCTTGCAGGGCAGCCTGCACGAGGAGATCTGGCTGCGTCGCCCACCTGGCTTCACTAAGTCTTTCCCTCCTGGTACCCAGTGGAGTCTCCGGCGTCCAGTCTATGGTCTCCGCCAGGCGCCGCGTGAGTGGCACGACACACTGAGGACTACGCTTGCGGCTCTTGGGTTTGCTCCCTCTACTACCGACCCGTCGCTGTTTCTACGCACCGACACCTCTTTGCCGCCGTTCTACATCCTCGTGTACGTCGACGACTTGGTCTTTGCCACAGCTGACACTGCTGGACTCGCCTACGTGAAGTCCGAGCTGCAGAAGAGACACACGTGCACTGACCTGGGTGAACTGCGCAGCTACCTTGGCTTGCAGATCACCCGGGACAGAGCACGCCGCACCATTACCCTGACTCAGTCACACATGGTGCAGCAGGTCCTTCAGCGCTTCGGCTTCACGTACTCCTCGCCTCAGGCCACTCCTCTGCCTACTCGCCACTCGCTCTCAGCTCTGCCTTCGGATGAGTCCGTAGAGTCGAGTGGCCCGTATGCAGAGCTTGTTGGCTGCCTCATGTACCTGATGACCTGCACACGACCTGACCTTGCATACCCTCTGAGCATTCTTGCACGCTATGTTGCTCCTGGGAGACACCGACCAGAGCACATGGCTGCAGCGAAGAGGGTGTTGCGCTACTTGTGCAGTACGTCGGGCATGGGGCTAGTGCTTGGAGGGCGGAGTCCAGTGGTCCTCACTGGACACGCGGACGCCTCTTGGGCTGACGACCAGGCTACGCAGCGGTCGTCACAGGGTTACACCTTCAGTCTTGGTTCCGGCTCTGTTTCGTGGCGGGCTACCCGCTCGTCTTCCGTTCTCGGCTCGAGTTGTGAGGCTGAGATCTACGCCGGGGCCATGGCTGCACAGGAGTTACGCTGGCTCACCTACCTGCTGACCGACCTTGGAGAGCCGCCTCGTTCTCCTCCAGTCCTGTACGTAGACAACAAGGCCATGCTGCCCTTGTGTCAAGAGCAGCGACTGGAGCACAGGACAAAGCACATTGCTCTCCGCTACTTTCTTGCTCGTGAGCTACAGCAGCGTGGACAGTTGCGACTTGCGTACGTGGCCTCTGAGGCCAACACTGCTGATGTCTTCACCAAGGCACTTGCACCTTGTGATCATCAGCGCTGCTGCACGCAGCTGGGCCTTGTGCCTGCCTTGCCTCACTTGCTCACTTCTTGACCTCGCTTGTACTTCTACCTATATATACTCTTACTCTGCTTGTTTGTCTCTTGTATATCTCTATATATGATCTTGCATGTGAACTGGCCTTTTGGCCTTTGAACTTGTACTCGGAATGTGTGGTGACTTTGTGATCCACCCTGAGCTTTGCTTTGCTTTGCTTGATTGGTCTTGTGACCCCTTGCTCTCCCCCACTTTGCCTATGGGGGTGTGTCAGAACATTATAGCTTACTTATTTGTGTAGGCTATAGTGGGGTATCCCATAGGGGGTACAACCCAATTAGGGTTTCCTATTTGTACTCACCTCGTTCATAGTTCATTCATTCTCTCGTTCACTTCTTCTCAACACCCACCCTATTTGTGGTCAATTTCTGATTGTGAATGGCAAGAACCACCCACTTACTGCCACGTCTGCAAATTGTGCTCAACTTCTGAAGTTGAGCACCGATCGTGGTGAGAGACCCAACACGTGGCTTCGTCAAACATGGCCCATTCAACTACAGATCACTTCCGTAAACCACACTACCCCGACGATCGACTATAATTCGCCACCACGCTGCCCCAACCGGCCGATTAACTGTCATTCACGACATGAACTCCACCTAGAAATCCAAGCCGACACCCCACCACGCGGCAATCCGGGGGGATCACATTTTTCTGATGGGCGGGCGCCGGAGTCAACTGCGCGCGGGCGCTCCCTGGCGGCTTCCGCCGCCGCCAGCGGCGCCGACGAGGGCGAGTGCAACGTAGAGTGGATGCTGCTGTGGCCGGCGCGACAGGGATGCTGGCGGCCGCGCATGACGGCGCAAGGCAAAACTTCCGCGCGCGGTGACTTCCGCCACCTCCTCCTCCGCGCACCGCCAGCTACCACGCAAAGCCTGACTTCCGCAGGCGCTGTGATCGCGCAGGCTTCCGCGCCTCCCCCTTCCCCCTCCCGACGACCGGCCAGGCGACGGGGATGGGGGGAGCACTCCGCCCGCGGGGGAACGAGGCGCGGCTGACACCCGACAATGAGATCATCGGCGTGTGCCGATTCGGAGGTGAGATATCCGCGATATAGAGTTGTGACGTCCTTCAAAGAACAGGAGGACCATGTGAAGGGGGGGGATACTCCCATTGGACTAGGGCTGCGGCCAACGGGGGGTCAATAGGGGCGGCGGAGGGTCTATGTGGGCAACGGATGGGGAATGAGGGCAAGGGAGGGGCAATGGGGGCAATGAGGGCGGCAATGGGAGGGGGGGGGGCAATGATCATGGCAATGCTCCGCAATTGATCGCATGATGATGCGATCATACGCGCGTGCAGGTCTGGGAGGGAGGTATCCGCGTTTAGAGTCGAGGTGGGTGGATGAGCAGGAGAGAAAACGCTGTAAGTGTTGAGCCAGAGCAGGTGGCAGCAAACGATGTTCTCATTATAGCCAGCATCGCAGTTAGTGTTAGACCATCTTCGTCATGCCCTCGCTGTGCCCCCGCTGTGCCCCCACTGTGCCCCCGCTGTGCCTTGAGTCCCGTTGGCTGGCTCAATATCTTCTCTCCTTTCCTTCCCAACGTCTTCTTTCCGTCTCCTCCCCTTCACCTCTTTCTTCTCTCATTCCCTTTCGTTGCCGCGCAGCCCCCTCCACCATCACCATCGCCCTGGCTGGAACGGACAGACGTGGCGAGGCTGGGGCACTTCGCTGGCATGGTGAGTTGCTGAGCTGGCATGGTGAGTTGCTGATCTGACATGGTGAGTTGCTGATCTGGTATGGTGAGTTGCTGAGGTGGCATGGTGAGTCGCCTAGCTGGCATGGTTACCTGCTTAGCTGGCATGGTTCCATGTCTCATGTCTCATGTCTCATGTCCCTTGTCTCATGTCTCATGTCCGATGTCTCGTGTCCCATGTCCCATGTATCGTGTGCACGCACACTCTCCCACCTCCCATGCATCAATACCGCTTACCCCTTGCCCCTTGCCCTTTGCCCCTCCCAGGTTCGCCAACTACGTGGGCAAGCTGCCGGACGACCAGTTTGATCTCATAATGGATTTACTCCTCGACAAGGACAAGGGCATCGGACTCAACTTGGCCTGCTACCTCATTGGCAGCAGCGTCAACTACACCAACAGCCCCCAGTTCCTCACCGCCGCCTGGGAGAACCCGCTCCATCCCCGGCTTCCGCGTCCAGCCAAACGGGCCGTACGACTGGACGGCGGACGGGCGGCAGAGGCGGACAATGCTCGCCGCCCTGGCGCGGAATGTGGACGAAGTTGAGGCGGTGTCGTACTCGCAGCCCTGGTGGATGACGGTCAGTGGGGACACTGCCGCGACAGAAACAGGCAAGTGCAACTTAAAGCCCGAGTACTTCCAGGCGTACACGGAGTATCAAGCTTCGGTGATCGAGCATTACCGCACGCACTGGAACGTGACTTTCTCGACCATGACCCGGCGAATGAGGCGTTGGAGGGGTGGTGGACGCAGGGCCACAAGAACGAGGGGTGCAACTACAGCCCTGAGAAGCTGACCACTCTTATCCGGCTCCTCACAGCCACCTTAACGAGACTCAAGCTGCCGACAAAAGTCGCGGGGTTTGACAGTTTCGTCGGCGCGACTCTCCAGTACACGTTCAAGTTCCCTGCTGCGTTGAAGGCCGGCCTGTTTCGGCTGAATGTGCATGGGTACATAAACCCGCCGCCCAGCACGGCAGACACTCAGCAGTACATGGAAGGTGTGATGGTGAGCATGCACCGCATGGCGACCGGACTAGGGAAGGAGGTGTGGGTGTCGGAGGTGGGGCCGATGTGGGTGAGCGGGAATGATTTCGGTGTGATGCTGTTCACGGCGCGGCAGATAGTGGAGACTGTCAACATCATGGGGGCTTCGGCCTGGATTTTCTGGCAGGCTGTGAGTGGGGTGGGAGGGAACAACCCAGACGCGTTTCTGAAATGGGGGCTATTGGCGGTCAGGATCTACCGGCTGAACGACACAGAAGTCAAGCCGTTGGATCTGGTGATCTCCAAGAAGCTCTACATGCTGCAGCAGTTTGTGCGTGGGGCGCCGAGAGGAAGCCTGCCTTTGCGAATCCACACATCGGACGGGTGCCAGCACTGCATTGCCGCCTTCTTCCACCCCGACCAGCACTTCGTTTCGATTTTCATCGTCAACCAGCGCGACACAACACACACAGCGACATTTTCATTCGAGGATTTCGTGCCGTTTGACGCGGGGCAGGAGTGTGTGTTGGAGACGTATCGCACGTCAGCGACGGAAAATAACACGCTGGTGGCGACTCAAAGTTACACAGACCTGCCAGCTTTGATACAGGTGGCGGCGCTGGGCAGCTCGATGACTTCTGTGGTGCTGCGGAATGTGGACCCCGCGTACGGATGTGCTGCTTGCAGGGATGGTGCATTTTACATCGGAGTGCTTAGCATTGAATTTAGGGGTCTTAGCATAGCGCTGCATCAGTACTGCTGGCTGCAGGGTTTGACGCGGGTCAGGCGGGTGTGGTGCGCACGTCAGCCACGGAGAACAGCACGCTATCCGGAGGGAGCTACTCCGATGTACAGGTGGCTGCGCTGGCCTGGTCTTTTGCATCTGTGGTGCTGCACAAGTTGGCTGGCCCTTGCATCCTGCAGCAATGGTGCTGGTTGGAGAGTTACACAAGGCAGAGCCGCTCACAAGTGCTGCGTGTGCTGCGCAAAGTGCACACCACGCGTATTGGCATACATAGTGATGATGGCATGGCATTGGTCGAGAGAGCAGAGCTGCTCTTTAAAGCCGAGTCTACAAGTGGCTGCACTGGGCTATATGAATCCTGTGTAGCGATGGCATGATCACAAGGGAGGGAGCTGCTCCTCCGGCCAGGTCGTCGGTACAAGGGGCTGCAGGCTGCGGCCTCGTGGCAGGCAGCCATTGCACAGCCTTGCACAATTGGGACTCCCTGCGGTTGCACAGTTACCACTAGTTAACTAGAATAAGTATTCACCCTGCCTAGTGCAGGCGGGGTTACTAGCAAGGACCACAGAACAGAGCTATGATGCCGTGTACGCGGACCCTGCATAGCATAGCAAAAAGTATCACGTTGTTAGTACATACGGTATTGTCCCCTGCGTTGTTGCCTGAACCATCTGGGTGTATGGTTAGAGAAAGCAGAGCTGTGCATTCTGGTTTTGAGATGGAAAATTGTGTGCCAGGTGTCTACAGCTGTTCATGTGTACCGGTAAGGGGATTTGCGTGTGGATGACACATGCATGTGCTTGTTGATCAAAGAAGGTGCTTCAGGTCAAACCTACTAAGGTAAACTACGGTAAGGTACCATCAACGCTATACATTAGCATTGCAGCCAGCGCTAGGGTGACTAGCAAAGCATCAGTAAAAAAACATCAGCGACAATTGCACACCTGAAGCGTACAACTATAACTTATGCCACAGCTAATCTCACACCACCATGGCAGAAGCTGCCTCCACGCCTGCCCTCAGATCCGAGCCTACACTGAAACCCAGACCTGCTTCCGAGCCTGTCCTCAAACCTGCCACGCTGGTGTGGCAATGCCGGAGGATCCAAGGATGAAAGAGGATTTGCGCGGCAGTGGGACGCTGCTGGGGGTTCCTCTGCAGCAGGCACAGCACAAGCCGCTTTGCCTCCTCCAACACTCCCGCCCACTCCTCGCCACTTAAATCTACCACGCCTTTCAGCACCTCCACAAACACGTCCTTATCCGTCGGGCCCCAGAAAGGCGGCGCCCCGCAGAGCAAGATGTATAGAATCACGCCCAGAGACCACACGTCGGCTTCTAACGCGTATTCGCCTAGGAGGACCTCAGGAGCCATGTAGAACGGCGATCCCGCGACGCCCATTGCGCGATTGCCTGATTGCAGGGGAACCGCAAGGCCGAAATCCGCGAGTTTTGTGGTTAGCGGTGCGGTGGAGAACGGTGCGGAGGGGTCGCGCGTGAGCAGGATGTTTTCCGGCTTGAGATCGCGGTGGAGGACGCCTCGCGCGTGGCAGTGTGCGACGGCCGATGCGACCTGTGCGAACACGTTCGCAGCGTCGCGTTCACTCAGTCGCCCGCGTCGCACGACTTCGTCGAACAGTTCGCCGCCTTCGCACAGATCCATGACTAAATGCACTGAATGCTCGTCCTCGAAAACTCCGCGCAATTGCACCACCCCGGGATGCGCCACCCCCTGCGTCTCCCCAGCTCCGCTTCCGCCAACCCGCTGCATCAGCGCAAATTCTCGCCGCACCTCCTCCTGCTCCGCCTCGCTTCTAAGCCTGTCCTTGGAGATTCGTCTTGCACGCGAAGCGCGCGCCTGTAAGCCGCTCGGTGCAGCGTCGCACGGTCCCGAACTGGCCGGTTCCTAAGACATGAGAGTCTAACGAAAAGAATGATTCGAGAGGGGCTGTTTGGAACGGAAGGACTTGACCATGCGACGACGGCGACAATGGCGACGTTGGCGACGAGCAGCGATCCTGTGCTTGGTCGACCCATCGCAGCTGCGATTCAGGCTGCGACGAGGCGTCGGGCTGATGTTGCTGTTTCCTCTGCGACCTTACGGTATGCGACTTGCGAGTGTCTCGCACGCTGCTGCGATCTGTTGGTGCTTGCAGAGAGAAGTGGGCCATTATGGCTGATCGAATCTGATATAGCAGTTAGAAGCTTGAAGGAAGAGTGGGTGCTAGTAGCGACTACGGCGACCAATACTTGAAAATATCAACGAGTTAAGTAAATGCCGCAGACAAGTTCGTACCGGGAGTTCGAGCAGCGAGTGCTAATAAACAACCAGATGCAGAAGGACTTGAGTTTCCGGATTCTGTGTTGAGTACCTGGCATGGCTGCTGCATACTTATGCGTGAGCGTGACGGTGAGATTTCTCTCGGCCTTTCCAGAACGAGCCGCTCCAAGACTCTCCAAGTCGCGATCCTTCTGGTTGCTTCTGGCTCACGCTCGCGCCTTCCATTTTCTCTGTTCGACAATGCCAAGTCAGTCGTCGTGGTTGGGCGAACCGCAGGTTACCCTAACTGCCAATCAGCGATTCGTGCTGCTGTCTCGTTTGAGCCCACACCTGTCGCCTAGTAGTCGTCGTCGAGGCTGTCGGTGTCGTCGGAAGCAACGAACGAAGGTCAACGAAGGGTGCAGAGAGCCTTCGCGCGAGGTCACTTTCGTTTCTGTGACGCCTGTCAGTTGCTCGGCGGAAGTAGAAAGGCGATATTTTTGTTCGAGTGTGGCGTGGCAATGTGCTCTGATTGGTCTCGCTCCGCCAACCTCAACTTTGGGTCGGCTCTGCACTGCACGGCACGGCAGGCGTTCAATACACATAACCGTCGCAGAAAGATGACCGAGGCTTCCATGCGAAACACTTTCGCAGATATTTCAAGTCTGTACTCGTTACAGTCTGTGCTAAGCTGCTGGACAAGTGAAAGGAAAACATTGTCTCAAGGCCTTTCACCATAAGTTGTGCATCGAGTGTACCCTGACAGAAACCCCAGAATAGGGGCTTCTGCTTCCTTCAGACCTCGGCAGGTGCGTTGACAAGCATCACCCTTGTGGCCCTGTGTGGCAAAGTGAACAAACTTCGCTTGCCCCTCGACACTATCAGTGTCCATGGCACCCCCATTCCGCTGAGATAAACGCCAACGGAATGGGCCTCCAAGCGTCGGCGTTCGTGGCACCGTGTGTACCTCCAACGTCGCCTAGCGATGCGACCCCCGTCGGCTTCCCCACGTGCGTGCACTTCTTCGGCGCCGAACCAGCGAAACGGACGGCAAACCCCATCGCGAAAAATGAAAGCTGCGATTTTTGGCCCCCGAAGGTTTTTCTGCGTTGGCCTTGCGAGAAAGTTGCGGAAAGCTGCATAAAAACACCGCACCCGAATCACAACTTTTTGCACATCAGAAACGCACGGCATCATCGTACACACAAAAGTGACTTGGCGGTAACTTTTCCACTAACATGTAGGAAACTCGAAGCGCACACCTACATCTCGAGTCGCATTCGCGGCTCCCATTTCGTTCGAACCAAAATCCGCGACATAAGTATGCTGCTTCGTTGTTTCCGTCACAATACAACAAGTGTGTGCACTGTTAGGGTGCTCATATCCACATTAGCCAAAACTACTCCACCAACTCAAAATAACATTGCACACACAATAACAACCACAACACCAACATCAACAATGCGTCCCCCCTACGTACGATACCGGACACAGTCAACTCCCACAACCAAACCCCACTACTGCCAGACGCATCACTAGTCGTCATCACTCTCCAGCACTTCATCACTCTACAACACTTCTTTGGCTGTCCCGTTCTCAGCTCGCCCCCCTGCGCGAGCCCTCTTGACAGGCGTCCTGCATAGGCGGGAAATCACCTCCTGGTTCGATGCTCCGACCTCTGCAGGCACAGCCGCCGGGGGGATGCCGAGCTCATCGGCACGCTCCACGTACGCGTTTGTGACGTTGCGTATCACGCGCCTCCTGCTGCGCTCATCCCACAGCAATGGGCTGTCTGGCAGGCTCATGTCGCCCGACGAGTCATCGGACGCGCTGGCAGCAGGTGTGGCTCTGAACCCCTGCTCCACGCATAGTCCCGCGTCGCAGTTGATAAAATCCGCGGCCGTCATGTAGCACGCAGGCTTTACCTTGAACTTCTCGATAAGCAACTACAAATCGACGCATACCAAAATAATAAGCTCGAACATGCCGGTTGCGCACGTGTCACCCAGGTACGCCATCAGGGGCGGCCAGCTCGCCGGCATGCATCCTGCGCGCCACCAGCTCCGCTGCATGGTAGCCGCGCGCACACGAGTCCACGCTTCTCCCAGCCACTCGAGTATGTCGTTATAGTCGACATCAGCGATGGAAGCCGAATAGTCGAACTGGAACCGCTTGGACCCTATCGCACGCCTCATCAGCATAACGCGGTAATACGCCTTCAGCGCGTCACCCACTCCCTACAGGTGCGGCAGGCCCGTCTCCGGAACCGATCCACGAATGTTGACGACTCGGGTGTTCGTGAGGTGCTGCACACTGAAGCCGTGCTCCGTGACGGGCGGCGCCACCTCGCCTGTGATGCGATGCGCCTTTTGAATGGTGAGGATGATGGTGTTGCGATCACGGCTGAAGTGCACACCGTTTACGGTCTCCACAAACTCCGTGAATACATGTGTGTAGTGAATCAAACATAGCGAGCACGTCACCAACGGCCATTGCGGTACGCAAATACATCGGAGATGGACGCGCTCCTGATGTACTCACACGTGCTATGCACGTCCAACCATAAAAATGCACACAAAGTCCACAATCCATACCTCCGGCGTCAACCGCCCGCGGTTCGTATACCGAACGGCCACCTTGCGCGATGCGGCGCTCGCCCGCCGGCGCTCGGGCCTATTGGATGGATCTAGCACCACCAGAGGCACTGCGGAACAACTCCCCGTCGTGTTGTAGAGGATGCCGACGCTGACGATACGCTCCACCACATTGCGCTTATCCGGAATGTACGACTTCGGCAGCCGGCTGGGAAGAAAATTAATCTCGTGGAAGCAGAACACGTCATCCGGATGTGCGGTAGCAAGCAGGGCCTTCAGGTCACCCATTGTAACACACTGTCACTCTGGTATGCAAGTATGCATTGAAGTGCACACGACCTTCTCCTACATACGTCTCATTTGACCGTAACGTACCCCCGGCTTTCCCCTGCACGCACACTGTGTACAGCAGTTGAAATTGGCCACACAACCAACCGACCACATTCCCTGCGCCGCACAGAGATAACGCTCTCCTCTGATACGACCACCTGTAACGCCCACATAGGACATCCCGCCCCCACGACGCCACGTACGCGTCACCCATATCCGAACAACCAACTGCCTGAGACCCCGAGTGTGCACCACCACACATTGTGGTTGTGCAACCCCGACCGCGCAAGGAATAAGGGTACTCGTACGCGTTATACGATTCATAACTTAACCACCATACTGCACACCTATACCTGATTGAACGTCTTATCATCCGAGCACGAGTGTATAATAACATCACCGCTGGATAACACAAGTTCCATCAAACCGCGCCTCTATACATAAAGAACGCACTACGCAGTGATTTAGGGTTTAAAATTCCGAGCTGCAACGACAGTCTCTAAACGCATTGCGTCACTCGCATAGTAGAAACCTATTTACTAGCTGCACCTTTTTGTTGCTGTACGAAGGGCACACGTACACCACTCTCTGCAGGCTTTTCAGCTCCACCACCGAGAACCTCACATCCTCCACTGTCTTGTGCAGCTGCGTACATCCCGTGAGGTTGCAGCTCCCAGCCTTCTCATAGTACCTCACATATGCGTACCCCTTCCAATCCCCATCATGGTCAACCGCCCTGAAAACGCACAGACATTTTGCATATCAGTCCCCACCCTTGTCATTGAGCAGCGCCACGTCCGAATACCACCTCTCTCGGGGCGACACCTTCACAAATGTCCCTTTGGCCACTGGCTCGCCGCCTCTTGTGCGCGGAATGGCCACCGCCGTGTGGACCTGTCACCCCATCCCCACCAAACCAACAACACGTGCACATCATGAGTGCGGTGAGCACCATCATGTAAGACTACAAACGTCCCATGTCCGCCACATTGTAATCACTTCACCTTCACGCTGTTGGTAGCCACACCCAACGCCTTAAACTCGTCAGCCAAACCCTTCATATCGTCTCCCAGCGCGGTTATGTACTCATCGTACACTGGATCCGACGCTCCGCCAATCCGCATTGTCCGATACTTCTTCGTGAGCACCGGTTTCTTCGTCATGATTGCCTGCACGTACCACACGCATTTATCAAACATTATATCTAATGTTGTAGTTGTTTAGGCTGCAGTGGGTTAGCCTATAGGGGGTACACACTTCTAGGTTTCCACATTTGTACTCATTTCGTTCTTAGTCATTTCATACCTCGTTCAACATGGTATAGAGCAGGTCCTTCCTAGGACCGTTTTTCCTAAGGGCCCACCACTACCTACCTGCCTATTTGCCTACCTGCCCTAGGGCGCCTCGACGTTCACGCCTCTAGAGGCCCTGTAGGCCCCGTGCTGTTGCACCTAGAGGCCCCGAATCGGCCCCCGCGCCTAACCCTAACGGCCCGCGTCGGCCCCGAGCTCGTCCCCTATAGGCCCGCGTCGGCCCCGCGCCTACCCTAGAGGCCCGCGTCGGCCCCGAGCCTACCCCTAGAGGCCCGCGACGGCCCCGTCCTTACCCCTAGAGGCCCGCGACGGCCCTGTCCCTACCCCTAGAGGCCCGCGAGGGCCCCAATCCTACCCCTAGAGGCCCGCGTCGGCCCCCGATCCTACCCCTAGAGGCCCGCGTCGGCCCCCGTCCCTACTCCTAGAGGCCCGCGTCGGCCGCGTCCCTACCCCTAACAGCCCGCGTCGGCCCCGTCCCTACCCCTTACAGCCCGCGTCGGCCCCGTCCCCAACCCCACCCGCTCCCCGCGCTCCCCTTAGCCGCCTCGAACGGCCCCACCTAGACCGCGCCGCCCGCACTGAACAGCCCGGCCCTAACGGAACCGAGCCGCCCGAACCGAGCCGCCCGACCCGAGCCGCGCCGCCCGACCCGAGCCGCCCGAACCGAGCCGCGCCGCCCGACCCGAGCCGCGCCGCCCTACCTATACCGAGCCGCGCCGCCCTACCTGTACCGAGCCGCGCCGCCCTACCTATACCGAGCCGCGCCGCCCTACCTGTACCGAGCCGCGCCGCCCTACCTGTACCGAGCCGCGCCGCCCTACCTATACCGAGCCGCGCCGCCCTACCTACCTACTGCTCCTGCTGCTTTTACTACTGCTACTACCATGGCTAGCCCTCCAGTGCTAGCCTTCGATGCTGAGGGGCGCCCAGTGAAGTTCGACACCTGGCTTGATGACCTACACCTCTTCCTACAGCTCACTGCCAAGGAAGACATCTCGCTGTACGATCACGCCCTAGGCCACGCTACTGCTCCTGCTGCTACTACTGCCGACAGCACTGCTCGCTCACAGTGGCAGACTCGTGACGCCCATGCTCGCTTCGCTATCCGCAACTCTCTGCCGATAGATGAGCGCGAGCACTTTGGGCAGCACAAGACTGCACAGGCACTGTACACTGCTGTCGTTGCCCGCTACTCCTCACCGGCCTCTGCTGCTCTAGGCCGTCTCTCTCTTCCCTACCTGTTCCCCGACTTAGCTTCCTTTCTCACTGTCGCTGACCTCATTACCCACCTCCGCACTAGTGAGGCTCGCTTCCGCGCCGCTATGCCTGATGAGTTCCTCGCCACGAACCCACCCCCGCTCTGGATCACTCTCTACCACCTAGTCACGCGCCTCCCTGACTCGCTGCGCTCAGTCAGGGACCACTTCGTCGCTCGCTGCCCCACCGAGCTCACCATTGCCCTCCTCGAGAAGGAACTCCTTGCAGCCGAGACTAGCATAGTCGCTGTAGGTGCCTCTCGCGGTGACCCCCGCACCCCGTTCTTTGAGGGGTGTTCTCCCTCCCCCCTTCTTCCCTCTGTCGCCTCTGCTGCTGCTGTCGACCTCCTTGGTGCTGAGAAGGTCGGGACTGCGTCTGCTTCGGGCGGACGCCGCAGCGGCAAGGGCAAGGGGGGCAAGAGCGGTGGTGGTGACAGCGGGGGTGGCGGTGGTGGGGGTGGTGGTGGCGGGGGGGGTGGCGCGGGTGGGGGAGGTGGCAGCGGTGGTGGGGGTGGCGGCAGCGGCTGGGAGGTGGCCGGGGCGGAGGAGGTAGTGGGGGTGGCGGTGGACGAGGCGGCGGCAGGGGTTGGGGTGGTCGAGGAGGTGGTGGCGGGAGTGGTGGGCGTGGCGGCACTGGCGGTGGCGGGAGTGGTGGGCGTGGCGGCACTGGCGGTGGCCAGGGACAGCAGCACACTCCCTCGCCCCAGGAGGTCCGTGAGTGGTACTCTCAGCACGGGGGGGGGGGGGGTGGCCTTAGCTGCACGTACGTCATTCGCACTGGTGACCGCACTGGCCAGCCGTGTGGGGGACCGCACGCCACACAGCGTTGCTTCGCTCGTCTGAGCGACGCTTGGCGTGTTCAGTTCCCTCAGGCCACTGAGCTGCCCCGCTGGCTTGATCTCCTGAAGAAGGGGATTGATATCTATGCTCTAGACTTTGATGCTATTCTCTCTGCCATGTATGTGATGTCTACTAGTGGAGAGGGTTCTGAGTACCTGAGTGTCCCGCCCGACCCGGGCATTAGGACGAGTGCGTCTGCTGCTCCAGGTACCCACGTGTCTGCTACCCCAGGTGCTGGTGAGGCTGCTGCTCTAGGTGCGTGCGTGTCTCCCCCCCCTGGTACTGTGTCGACTGCAGCACTGCACACCTTCACGCTGGATTCAGGTGCCTCTCGCTGTTTCTTTTCGTGACCGCACTGCCCTTGAGCCCCTTGCTCGGCCAGTTGCTGTCTTCCTTGCTGACCCCTCTAGGGGTCCGGCCATTGCGACCTCCTCCACTGTCCTTCCCTGCCCTGCGGTCCCGTCGGGCACACTGTCAGGTCTCCACCTCCCCTCGTTCTCCACGAACTTGGTGGCAGGTTCTGCTCTCCAGGACGGGGGTGTTCACCAGTTCACCCCTGCCTACGAGCGTGTGACACACTGCACGTGTGCTCGTTTGGGCCGCCACTTGGCTACCTTCACTCGGCAGCCGGGGTCGGACCTGTACACACTGACTACTGCCTCCCCTCAGGTCGCTGCGTCTGCGTCTGCGTTTGCGTCCGCGTCAGGTCAGCTGTCTGCCCCCTGCTCGTGTCGCTCTCTAGCGCACGAGACTGTCCTCTGGCACCACCGACTTGGCCACCCGTCTGTGCAGCGCCTTCGTGCCATGCACTCCCGGTACCTTGTCTCTGGTCTTCCCAGGGTTCTCCCTCCTCTCCCACCCTCGCCTGCTCCTCCCTGCCTTCCCTGTGTCGAGGGGCGGCAGCGCGCCGCTCCTCACTCCTCCTCGTTTCCCCCGACGACTTCTCCTTTGCAGACGCTCCACATGGACGTGTGGGGCCCAGCCCGTGTCCGTGGTCAGGGTCAGGAGAGGTACTTCCTGATCGTTGTTGACGACTACTCGCGCTACACCACGGTCTTCCCCTTGCGCACCAAGGGTGAGGTCCCTGATGTTTTGATCCCTTGGATCCGCAGAGCTCGTCTCCAGCTCAGCGAGCGTTTCCGCTCGGACTTTCCTGTCCTGCGCTTGCACTCTGACAGAGGTGGTGAGTTCTCCTCCGACCTCTTGGCAGCCTACTGTGCTGAGCACGGCATTGAGCAGTCGTTCACGCTTCCGGCCTCTCCACAGCAGAATGGGGTTGCGGAGCGCCGCATTGGCCTGGTCATGGAGGTCGCTCGTACCTCCTTGATCCATGCGGCTGCCCCTCATTTTCTGTGGCCGTTTGCGGTCCGGTACGCTGCGCATCAGCTCAACCTCCGGCCCCGTGTCTCCTTGCCGGAGACCTCGCCCACACTGCTGTGGACGGGGGAGGTTGGCGATGCGTCGCATTTCCGGGTCTGGGGATCTCGAGCTTTTGTTCGCGATTCGTCTTCGGACAAGCTCTCCTCTCGTGCTGTTCCCTGCGTCTTCCTCGGCTTTGTTCCGGACGCACCTGGTTGGCAGTTTTACCACGCCACCTCGCGCCCGGTCTTGCCCTCTCAGGACGTCACTTTTGACGAGTCTGTCCCCTACTACCCGCCTCTTCCCCTACCGCACTTCCCCGCTCCCTCCCCCGCCTCTCTTCCTCGCGCCAGGTGCTGCTGTCGTAGACCCCCTCCCCCCTCAGGGTGCCGCTCCCTCAGGTGTGTCTCAGGTAGACCCGGTCGAGCCTGTTGAGGTTGCTGTCGACTCTCGTCCTGCTGGGAGTGCTGAGCCTGGGGGTGCGGACACTGGGGGTGCTGAGCCTGGGGGTGCGGACACTGGGGGTGCTGGGCCTGGGGGTGCGGACTCTGGGGGTGCTGAGCCTGGGGGTGCTGACTCTGGGGGTGCTGAGCCTGGGGGTGCGGACACTGGGGGTGTTGAGCCTGGGGGTGCTGTGCCCTGGGGGTGCTGAGCCTGGCGGTACTGCGCCAGGGGGTCCTCCGCCTGGCCGAGACCTCTCCTCGGAGCAGTTGCGTGAGTGGTACTTACAGTACTGCAGCCTCCGGAGGGGTACATCTGGGACCAGGCGCGCTACGGAGACGGGTGCTGGCACTTCTCCTTCTAGTCGGGAGCTCCCCTCTCGTGAGCGGATCCGTGAGTGGTACGAGCGCCGTTGCACACTTCGTAGTGGCGCGCCTCGTCTCACGGACCCTGCTGCTGCTAGTGCTGCGGACCCGGGCGTTGGAGCTGCTGCTGGTGCTGCGGACCCGGGCGTTGGAGCTGCTGCTGGTGCTGAGGACCCGGGCGTTGGAGCTGCTGCTGGTGCTGCGGACCCGGGCGTTGGAGCTGCTGCTGGTGCTGACGACCCGGGCGTTGGAGCTGCTACTGGTGCTGAGGACCCGGGCGTTGGGGCTGCTGCTGGTACTGGCGGACCCGGGCGTTGGAGCTGCTGCTGGTGCTGAGGACCCGGGCGTTGGAGCTGTGACTGGTGCTGAGGGCCTTGGTGTTGGAGTCCCTGCTGGTGCTGCGGACTCGGGCGTTGGTACTGCTGCTGGGGGCACTGGTGCTGTCCCTGCTGTGTCTGGAGTCGCCGCGCGCCCTCAGTCGTACTTCGTTCCGCTCCTTCAGCAGGTTCTTGGTCTCTCGCCTCCTCCTGGTCCTCCCCCTCCTTTAGTGTGTCCACAGCCTGTTCAGTCACTGCCTGCTCCTTCTCCTTACTCTGGTCCTACTGACGGTCTTACTGAGCGTCGTGAGCCTGCGTCTCGCCCTGCGTCGCCTGTCCGTCCTGCTAGCACTGGAGCTCGTAGTTCGCGTCCACGTCCTCCTCCTGCCCCTGGCACGCACCGGATGTCTCTGCGTCCTTCCACTGCCCCTCTGCGTGCCCCTTTGCCTTCTCCTCCTGCTTCCTCTCTTCCTGCTCTTGCCGACCCGGAGTCGGACTCTCTTCGTGCTGCCAGTCCTACTGTCACGCGTCTCCTTGCTTACTGCCGTCACTGACCCTTCTTTCGAGTCTTCTGCTGCGTCTGCCCTGGTTGCTGAGCTCGTCGACTTTGCTGCTCGCTGTCGTCTAGACTACGCTGCTAGTCTTGTCGCTGAGTCTGAGTCTGTCTGTCCTCCGTCCGTCGGGGGTGCGTGTGCCCTTGGCACGGACGTCCTTGAGGACAGGCAAGAGGAGTTTCAGTGCTTGGCTGCCGCTTCACCTCATCTCGCGTCTGTACTGCTAGCCCCTGAGGGAGACCCGGATGCACTAGACATCCCGACTCCGCGCTCTTACGCGGAGGCGATAGAGGGTCCCTACTCCTCTCAGTGGCAGGCAGCTATGGATGCAGAGATGGCTTCCTGGAAGTCCACAGGCACCTACGTTGACGCTGTCCCCCCTCCTGGGGCGAACATCGTCAGTGGCATGTGGATCTTCAGGGTGAAGCGGCCGCCGGGTTCTCCGCCTGTCTTCAAGGCGCGTTACGTGGCTCGTGGCTTCAGTCAGCGGCAGGGAGTTGACTACTTTCAGACCTTCTCCCCCACCCCGAAGATGACCACTCTTCGGGTACTCCTGCACGTTGCTGCTCACCGGGACTACGAGCTTCACTCTCTCGACTTCAGCACTGCTTTCTTGCAGGGCAGCCTGCACGAGGAGATCTGGCTGCGTCGCCCACCTGGCTTCACTGGGTCTTTCCCTCCTGGTACCCAGTGGAGTCTCCGGCGTCCAGTCTACGGTCTCCGCCAGGCGCCACGTGAGTGGCACGACACACTGAGGACCACGCTGGCGGCACTTGGGTTTGCTCCTTCTACTGCTGACCCGTCGCTGTTTCTGCTCACCGACACTTCTCTGCCGCCGTTCTACATCCTTGTGTACGTCGACGACTTGGTCTTTGCCACTGCTGACACTGCTGGACTCGCCTACGTGAAGTCCGAGCTGCAGAAGAGACACACGTGCACTGACCTGGGTGAATTGCGCAGCTACCTTGGCTTGCAGATCACCCGAGACAGAGCACGCCGCACCATTACCCTGACTCAGTCACACATGGTGCAGCAGGTCCTTCAGCGCTTCGGCTTCACGTACTCCTCGCCTCAGGCCACTCCTCTGTCTACTCGCCACTCGCTCTCAGCTCTGCCTTCGGATGAGTCCGTAGAGTCGAGTGGCCCGTACCCAGAGCTTGTTGGCTGTCTCATGTACCTGATGATCTGCACACGACCTGACCTTGCATACCCTCTTAGCATTCTTGCGCGCTATGTTGCTCCTGGGAGACACCGACCAGAGCACATGGCTGCAGCGAAGAGGGTGTTGCGTTACTTGTGCAGTACGTCGGGCATGGGACTAGTGCTTGGAGGGCGGAGTCCCAGTGGTCCTCACTGGTCACGCGGACGCTTCTTGGGCTGACGACCAGGCTACGCAGCGTCGTCACAGGGTTACACCTTCAGCCTTGGTTCCGGCTCTGTTTCGTGGCGGGCTACTCGCTCGTCTTCTGTTCTCAGGCTCCAGTTGTGAGGCTGAGATCTACGCAGGGGCCATGGCTGCTCAGGAGCTTCGCTGGCTCACCTACCTGCTGACCGACCTTGGAGAGCCACCTCGTTCTCCTCCAGTCCTGTACGTCGACAACAAGGCCATGCTGGCCTTGTGACGAGAGCAGAGACTGGAGCACAGAACAAAGCACATTGCTCTCCGCTACTTCCTTGCTCGTGAGCTACAGCAGCGTGGTCAGTTGTGACTTGGGTACGTGGCCTCTGAGGCCAACACTGCTGATGTTTTCACCAAGGCACTTGCGCCTTGTGATCATCAGCGCTGCTGTACCCAGCTGGGTCTTGTGTCTGTCTTGCCTCACTTGCTCTCCTCTTGACCCTCTTGTACTGTTCCATATCTATATCACTGCTCTTGCTTGTTTAGTCTCATATATATATATATATGTACTCCTGCATGTGCTTGGATTGTGTGGTGACGTTGTGATCCACCCTGAGCTTGCTTTGCTTTACTTGACTGGTCTTGTGACCCCTAGTTCTCCCCACTTCGCCTATGGGGGTGTATCAAACATTATATCTAATGTTGTAGTTGTTTAGGCTGCAGTGGGTTAGCCTATAGGGGGTACACACTTCTAGGTTTCCACATTTGTACTCATTTCGTTCTTAGTCATTTCATTCCTCGTTCAACAGCATTCGCACAACGAACCACACGGTGTTTGGAGCACGCCTCCACCCCGGTGTACGGTGTACTCTGGACTACCAACTGTTATGAAGAAGAAGTGATTGCACTATGAAAGTTGGAGTACAAGTAGGAAACCCTAACTTTGTGTACCCCCTAAAGGCTAACCCACTATAGCCTACACAATAATAACACATGTAGTGTTTGACACACCCCCATAGGCAAAGTGGGGGAGAACAAGGGGTCACAAGACCAGTCAAGAAAGGCAAGCAAGCTCAGGTGGATCACAACGTCACCACACACTCCGAGCACAAGCAAAAGGGCCACAAGGCCAGTTCACATGCAGAAGTATATATAAGTAGTACAGACAGCAAGGGTGATCTCAACCTAGCAGAGCAAAGAGGCAGGAGTATATATAGAGATCACAGTACAGACAAAGCCTACAACAAGTGAGACAAAGTGGGCACTAGCCCCAACAAAGTACAGAAGCGCTGATGATCACTAGGCTGAAGTGCCTTGGTGAAAATATCAGCGGTGTTGGCCTGAGAGGCCACGTAGCGCAGACGAAGCTGACCACGCTGCTGAAAGCTCACGAGCAAGGAAGTAACGGAGAGCGATGTGCTTCGTTCTGTGCTCCAGTCTGTGCTCTTCACATAAGGCAATGGCAGCCTTGTTGTTGACGTACAGCACTGGAGGAGAACTTGGCCGCTCTCCAAGGTCGGTCAGCAGGTAGGTGAGCCAGCGTAACTCCTGTGCAGCCATGGCTGTGGCAGCCATGGCTGTGGCGTAGATCTCAGCCTCACAACTGGAGCTGAGAACCGAAGACGAACGAGTAAAGCGCCACGAAACTGAACCAGAGCCAAGGCTGAAGGTGTAACTTTGTGACGACCGCTGAGTAGCCTGGTCGTCAACCCAAGAAGCGTCTGAGTGCCCAGTGAGAACAACTGAGCTCCCTCCTCCAAGCACGAGCCCCATGCCCGATGTACTGCACAAGTAGCGCAATACCCTCTTTGCAGCATCCCAGTGCACCTTTCGGTGACGACCAGGAGCCACGTAGCGAGCCAGAAGGCCAAGAGGGTATGCTAGGTCAGGACGAGTGCAAGTCATCAGGTACATGAGGCAACCAACTAGCTCTGGGTAAGGACCACTCGACTCTACGGACTAATCCGAAGGCAGAGCTGAGAGCGAGTGACCTATAGCCAGAGGAGTGGCCTGTGCTGAGGACCAGGTGAAGCCGATGTCAGAACATTATAGCTTATGCTTTTGTGTAGGCTATAGTGGGGTATCCCATAGGGGGTACAACCCAATTAGGGTTAGTACTTGTACTCACTTCATTCATAGTTCATTCATTCGCGTTCACTTCTTCACATGGTATCAGAGCAGGTCCCCTCCTAGGGACTGTTCCTAGGGCCCACCGAAGCGTGCCCCGAGGCGCGCGTTCCTTTTTTAGCGACCCTCCGTGTCGCCCCTAGCGGCCCGTTACGCCGCCCTTACCTACGCGGCCCCGCCGCCATTACCTACGCGGCCCCGCCGCCCTTACCTACGCGGCCCCGCCGCCCTTACGACGCGGCCCCGCCGCCCTCACGTCGCGGCCCCGCCGCCCTCACCTACGTGGCGCCGCCGCCCTCACCTCCACGGCCTCGCCGCCCTCACCTACTCGGCCCCGCCGCCCTCACCTTCGCGGCCTACGCCGCCCTCACCTTCGCGGGCCCCGCCGCCCTCACCAACGCGGCCCCGCCGCCCTCACCTTCGCGGCCTCGCCGCCCGTGCCTACGCGGCCCGCCTCCTTCTCCTACGCGGCCCCGCCGCCCTCAGACTTCGCGGCCCCCGCCGCCCACACCTTCGCGGCTCCGCCGGTCTCCCCTCCTGCCGAGCCGCCCGAGCAGCCGCCCGCCACGCCGCCCGGTACCGGAGCAGCCGAGCCGCCCAGCAGCAGCCGCCGAGCCGCCGGGCCGCCGAGCCGCAGTCCAGCCGAGCCGCCCAGCAGCAGCCGCCGAGCCACCGGGCCGCCGAGCCGCAGTACAAGCCGAGCCGCCCAGCAGCAGCCGCCGAGCCGCCGGGCCGCCGAGCCGCAGTACCGCCGAGCCGCCCCGCAGCCGAGCCGCACTACTGCCGAGCCGCCCGACCTGCCCTGTCTGGTGAGCACAGCCCCACTGCTACTAGCGTGCCCTTCCCCCACTGCTTGCACTGCTAGTCTGTCGTCATGGCTACCCCTAGTGTCCTCGGCTTTTGACGCTGAGGGTCGAGCCATTGACTTTGAGGTCTGGGTCGATGACCTGCAGCTGTTTTTACAGTGCGATAGGGCGGACAGTCTTTCTCCTCTTTGACCTCACCTCTGGCACCTCCCCCTGCTCCTGCTGCTGATGCTGACCCCACTGTTCGCTCTCAGTGGGCCACCCGCGATGCTGCTGCACGTCTTGCTGTGCGTCGCCACCTGCCTACCTCTGAGCGTGCGCACTTAGTCAGTACAAGAGTGCTCAGACCTTGTACGACGCTGTAGTTGCGCGCCTACTCTTCCCCTGCCACTGCTGCACTCAGCCGCCTCATGCTACCGTACCTCTTTCCTGACCTTGCTGCCTTTCCTACAGTCGCTGACCTCATCACGCACCTCCGCACTTCTGACACTCGCTACCGCGCCGCACTTCCTGCTGAGTTCTTGCGCCAGGAACCCCCCCCCCATGTACATCGCTCTCTATTAAATAGTCACTCGCCTCCCTGACTCCCTTTGCGTAGTCAGGGACCACTTCCTCTCAGTCTGTCCCACCACCCTCACTGTCGACCTCCTCGAGAAGGCCCTCCTAGTGGCGGAGAAGAGCATAGTCGCTGTAGGAGCCTCTCGTGGTGAACCCGCGCACCCCCATCTTTGAGGGGTGTTCTCCTTCACCCCCTGCTGCCCTCTGTTGCCTCTACTGCTGCTGCCGGACCTGCTTGGTCTTGAGTCGGTCGGCGCGGCGTCTGCCCCTAGCGGGAGACGCCGCCCTGGCAAGGGCAAGAAGGGCAAGGGGCGCGGGGTGGTGCTGGCGGGGGCGGTGGAGGTAGCAGTGGCGGTGGCGGAGGGAGTGGGGGTGGCGGTGGGAGTGGTGGTGGGGGGTGGTGGTGGTGGTGGTGGCAGCGGAGGCGGCGGCGGTGGCGGCGGCGGCGGTGGGAGCGGAGGCGGCGGTGGTGGCGGAGTTGGAGGCGGCGGTGGCGGAGGAGGTGGAGCCGGTCGGGGTAGTGCCCCGCAGCGGAGCGGCTCTGGTGGTGGTCAGCGCCAGCAGCAGTAGCAGCAAGCAGCGTTCTCCGGGACATCCCCTTGCCTCAGCAGCTCCGTGAGTGGTACACGCAGAGTCAGCGTGGTGGGGGTCTTGGCCCGTGCACCTACGTTCTTCATTCTGGCGACCGCGCGGGTGAGGCACTGTGGGGGTGCCCACATCCACCCAGCGCTGCTTTGGGCCGCCTGACGGACGCTTGGCGTCAGCGGTTCCCCGAGGCTAGTGAGATTCCCCGCTGGGGAGAGCTGTCTAGGGCTGGCGTAGCGATCTTTGATCTTGACTTTGATGCTATCCTTGCTGCCATGTATGCTGTGACTATTAGTGATGAGGGTGACTGTTACCGGTGTTTTCCCGCCCGACCCGGCATTGGTACTGCTGTGCTAGGTGCTTGTGAGGCTACTGCTCTAGGTGCCAGTGCGTCTGCACTCTCAGGTACTGCGTCGGCTTCGGCCTCCCTCACCTTCACACTTGACTCAGGGGGCTTCTCGCTCCTTCTTTCGAGAACGCACCACACTCACGCCGCTTGGTCGGCCGGTTGCAGTCTCCCTGGCTGACCCCTCTGGGGGTCCTGTCCTCTCTCACTTCTCCACTGTCCTCCCGTGTCCGGCTGCCCCCTCGGGCCACCTGTCGGGTCTGTACCTCCCCTCGTTCTCGACGAACTTGGTAAGTGGTGCTGACCTGCATGATGCGGGGGTTTCACCAGTTTACTCCTGCGAGTCAGCGGGTGACCCACTGCTCGGACGCCCGCACAGGCCGACACCTAGCCACGTTTTCGCGTCGGCCCGGGTCGAGTCTGTATACCCTGACCACTGAGTCTCCTCCAGTCCCTGCGTCTGGCCAGGTAGCTGCGTCGGGTCACGTGTTTGCTGCTGCGTCCAGGTCTGGTCCTGAGTCTGCCCCCTGCTCGTGTCGCCTCCTGTCTCACGAGACTCTCTTGTGGCACCACCGTCTTGGCCACCCTCCTTGCCTCGTCTTCAAGGCATGGCTTCCCGTGTCCTTGTCTCTGGTCTCCCCCGGTCTCTCCCTCCCCTTCCTTCGGGGCCAGGACCTTCCTGTGTCCCCTGTGTCGAGGGGCGGCTCCGGGCTGCCCCTCACTCCTCCCAGTTCCCCCGACAGAGGCTCCTCTGCAGACGCTTCACATGGACGTGTGGGGCCCGGCCCGCGTCCGTGGACAGGGTCACGAGCGCTACTTCCTGGGTGGTGACGACTACTACTCGCGTTACACCACAGTCTTCCCCTGCGCCAGCAAGGGTGATGTCACTGAGGTGTTGATCGACTGGATCCGCGCAGCTCGTCTCCAGCTCAGGAGGAGCTTCGGCCGGACTTTCCTGTTCTGCGTCTGCACTCTGACGAGGCGGAGAGTTCTCCTCTGGCCTTCTGCGAGCCTACTGTCGTGCACGAGGCATCCGCCAGACCTTCACGCTTCCGGACTCTCCACAGCAAAATGGGAGCTGAGCGCCGCATTGGCATGGTCATGGACGTCGCTCGTACGTCCATGATGCATGCGGCTGCTCCCCATTTTCTGTGGCCGTTTGCGGTTTGGTACGCGGCGCATCAGCTCAACCTTCACCCCAGGGTCTCCCGGCCGGAGGACCTCCAGCTCTGCTGTGGAGGTGGAAGGTTGGCGATGCGTCTGCGTTCCGTGTCTGGGGATCTCGGGCGTTTGTCGCGACTTGTCTGCGGACAAGCTGTTCCCTCGTGCTGCTCCCTGTGTCTTCCTAGGCTTCCCCCCTGACGCCCCAGGGTGGCAGTTCTACCACCCTCCTCTCGTCATGTTCTGTCCTCCCAGGACTTCACGTTCGACGAGTCCGTCCCCTTCTACCGCCTCTTCC